CCTGCACAATCAAAAATTGCACGACATCTTGTGCAGCAATGCCCAAAATGCAGGTAGCTTCAATGCATTTATCTGCACAATGAAGCAGGTATCTTTAATTTTACTTACGTGCACAAAAAGTGCAGGTATCTTTAATTTTCTATTCGTGCACAACAAAGCAGCAATCTTTATTTTACTTACGTACGTGTAATAGCCAGCCAAAATCAATGGGGAATCTTTTAAAGTTTATAATACATTTATTAAGTGGTTTAATTATATTAAACACAACAATTTAACATAAAATAAATAATTCACAATTCTCATGAATTGTCTAGGCAAGCAATGCTCACCATTAGCGTCATCGAAACTTCAAACAAAAGAGTGTTCTCTTTTAGCTCTTCAAAAGTAGTTAAGCAATGGATAGACAAACTCAGAGAGACAAATTCACAACATATGTATTTGAGCATCAGTGGTGTTTTATCCAGCATAACCATCTTTTAGTGTGGGAGAGGAAGCGAGAATATGTTTTTAATGCATGTTCTTTTCTTGTGTTGTTATTGTTTTTGAGAATACAAAAACAAAAACGAAGTGGTAGTTTTTAGTGTCTTCTTTGAGTTTGCAAAACATTTTCTTGTGCAGATAAATACAACTTTTGTAACCAAATTAAAAAAAAATTACCAAATTTTCGAGGCATACAATTCAAATAAAGGGATTCGGAAAAAAATGGCATAAAAAAGTTTTTTGGTCTGCAAAGGCCAATGCGCAGCTAATGTTGATGCAGGTAAATAGAAACCACTGTAATCACAAAATTGTAACTTTCAGATATTAAAACTCCATCTGACGCCCAACGTTTGTATAATTTGGGAACTGTTATTTCAGTTTCGAGCCGCAACTTTTCTGACAGATTCCTTTCCTCAAAAATGTCTTTTTTTTTCGATAATTCTTTCAATTTTTCGTGGCGCCCAACGCAAGGTTATTATGAAAGATATTACTTTTTTCGACCTCAGAATCTCAAAAATATTTTATGTACAAAATTGTTTGGCCCCAAAAATTCTAAAAATTTATTGTGGCGCCCAACGTTAAGATTAGGTAGGTATTATTTTTATACCCTACACCATACTATGGAGGGTACATTAACTTTGTCATACCGAAATACTCATTTCAGACCCTACAAAGTATATATTCTGGATCAGCGCAAAATTCTAAATTAGTGTCTGTTGTAATCAATCTTTGGAACAAATTGAGATGGAAAACTTAAAATTTTGCACAAATGCGTATTTTGTCAGTAGGCAGGTTAAGTTCGTTAATGGGCCATGTCGGTCCAGGTTTTCATATAGCCCATGCAACGGTACCTGTCTATATTCTGTATTTTGATGAGTTTAGGAACATGTTTTCCCCACATTCTTCAAATTTGGTATTTAAAGTTCGGAATCGGTGCTAGAGTCTATGACAAAAAAATGCATATGCAGGTTCACGTCTTCGTATAGCTCCCACATAACGATACCTTACGATATTCGGTATTTTGATGATTTTAGCGGCATTATTCACCAAAGTTGCTTCAAATTTCATATTTGAAGTTCGTAATCGGTGCTACAGTTTATTACAAATGTTTATTACTTATGAAGGACCACGTCTTTGTATAGCCCACCTATAAGTGGTTTTATTACACAGATATTTTTTAAGCTGCTTTTTCACTTGTTTCTTCTCAAGACTGGCTTTGTCTGAAAATTTTTTTAATATCTTCTGGCGCCCAATATAAGATTATTATGCGAGTTATTTCTATTTTCATCTTCTGAATTTCTAAATATATTATGTACCACAATTTTCGACCCTAATAATTCTAAAAACTCATAATTGATGTTTCAAGTGAGTGTCTAACTGCCTTACAAAAAGTTGTTGATATAAGTCCTTCAAAAAAAAATGGTATAGGTCCTCATTTTGACTTTGCATATATCATGGTGGAACGGTTCGGCTCCCTCAGCCCAGTCGATCATGGCTGTTGCGCACGATAACTCTGGAAGGAAGTGTCCGATTTGGTCCAAACTTGGTACATCATCATATTATTTTCAAACTTAGATGGAGTTCGGAGATAGGCAATATCGGCCCACTCCTTCTGGTACCTCCTATTAACAGAAGATCTGGTGTGAATATGGAATATTTCGGTCTACTCCTTCCTATACCTTCCCCACAATGGGTCAAAGTTTTGAATAACCATGAAGATCAAAAAACACGATATTGTGACATAGTTCAAGACATTTGGAGTCAATCTAGCGATGTCCGTCCATCCGTGCCCACGATAACTCTCAATGGAAGTATCCGATTTCGTAATATTATTATCAAATTTAGATCGGGTTCAGAGATGGTCAATATCGGCCCATACCTTCTGGTACCTCTCCCATAAAAGTTCGAAATTTTCACAAAAATATTTCATTGCACAGAAAGACACAGGATATTCCGACTTAGAAAATCTTAATATTTGCATCAGTGCTATGTCAAGTGCGAAAATGAACAATATCGCTCCACTCCATCAAATTATAACTCTAATAAAATGTGCCATAAGTGCCCGCTTGTCTTCAAATTTCACACGTCACAATATTTTTATCAATCTAAGATCTGGTGTGCAGATGGAAAATATCAGTCCCCTCCTTCTGGTACATCCCCACACAAAGGGTCAAAATTTTGAATATGCATGAATCACCTCGAAATTAACATCCAATGCCATTCAAATGCAGCCTGTCTCAATATTTCTATTAACACAGGATCTGGTATAGATCGGACCATTCCTTTTGGTACTTCACCCACAAAGGGTCAAAATTTTGAATAACCAAAACGACTACAAACTCGAAATAAGCATTTCACACATGCCATAATTTTCTCCAACACAAGATCTGCTGTAAAAGTGGGATATATCGGCGCACTCCTTCTGGTACCTCCACCACAAAGGATTCAAAATTTTGAAAAACAAAACGCTCAATTAACTTGAAATAAGCATCGAACCCCCTCAAATACATCCAAACATTTTCTCTAAAGCAATATCTGTTGAGAAAATAATATATATCTTTCTGGTACCTCATCTAAATACAAAGGCTTACAATTCCCAATACTTATATGTTTGATTTCCTTTAAATTTTGCACATTTTAATATTTTTATCTGTATCAGATAAAGTGGAATACTTCGGTCCGCTATATCTGATACCTCAAGCATATTTCAACATTTTCCAATAAATTGCACATATTTCATATAAAGTATAGGAAGTATATAATGTAGTCCAAATCTGGCAGGTTGTAATATTTATATCAGACATAGGTCAGAACTGGGGGTTTACTTCTGTCGTCCATACACACTGCAGTTTATCAGCCCCTCTCACCAATGAGTAGGAGCTATGCTAAATTCAGAAATTCTAACTCAATTTCTGATTTTGGTAAGATTATTGTAACATAATTGAAGCTCTAGCAGTACAATATTTGGTTCTCTTTAGTACCTTTTTGTAAAAAATTCCAAAAATAAATCCAATCCCAGCCCCACATGCAAAGTTTCAGGATTCTGACTCTAGAAGTTTTGAATATAGCATAAAAACAGTTTTTTTGTATTTTTTGTTAATATTTTTAGTAGGAACTTATCTGCAGTAACGTCCCTAAAACAAGTATTATATACAAGTATATATTTTTAGTATCTCTTAGTACGAATTTCCACCTTATCACACGCCTATAAATCCAACAAGTAAAAAACATTAAGTTCGGCCGGGACAAACTTTTCATACCCTCCACCTTAGGGTAAAGGAAACATTAGAAGAAATGTGGCAAAAACCATTAAAATGCCGAATATCGGGAGGTATCGTTATATGGGGGCTATATCAAATCGTGGACCTACACATGCAATGTTTCGCCAACGGAGCTAGAACCCATTGTGACCTACAAATACCAATTTTCAGAGAAATTCTTGAAAAAATGTGTCAAAAATCATCAAAATACCGAATATTGGGAGGTACCGTTATATGGCGACCCTATCAAAAGGTGAACCTATTCATACAATGTTTCGCCACACGAACTAGGACCCATTATGACCCACAAATACCAGTTTTTAGACAAATCAGTGAAAAAATGTGACAAAAACCGTCAAAATATCGAATATCGGGAGGAACCGTTATATGGGGGCTATACCAAATCATGGACCCATACATGCAATGTTTCGCCACCGGAGCTGAAACCCATTATGACCAACAAATACCAATTTTTATACAAATCAGTGAAAAGTTGTAGCAAAAAAAAATTAAAATACCGAATATCGGGAGGTATCTTTATATGGGGGCTATACCAAAACGCGGACCTATACATGTAATGTTTTGCCACACGCACAGGGACCCGTTGTGACCTACAAATACCAATTTTCAGACAAATCCGTGAAAAAATGTGACATAAATCATTAAAATACCGAATATCGGAAGGTACCGTTATATGGGGACTATACCAGAACGTGGACCGATATATCTCATTTTCAATACCAACCATCCTAGACACAATACAAATTGCTCTGCCAAATTTTGGCGCTCTACGTCAAATAATGTGGGCTGTATCGTGATTTCAACAGACAGACGGACATCGATAAATCGACTTAAAATTTTACGCTGATTACGCATATATATACTTTATGGGGTCTAGGAAGAATATTTAAGGATGTTACAAACGGAATGACAAAGTTAATATACCCTCCTTTCCAAGGGGGGGGGGGTATAAAAATGAATCTTAAAGAAATTCGATTTTCTTTTCAATACCAAATAGCACCACTGTTTGAAAAAATATTTAGTTAGTGGTGTCTACATCATAACTTCAAATTTTATTAATTAATAATGAACCATTATACAGATTTGCCCTTGGTTATTTTCTGGTCGATTTTGATTCAAATATTTCCTTTTGGCAACCCTGTTCGTATCGCACACAGTGTTGGTTGGCTTGATGTTGTTACGAACGACCAACCGACCAACCATTCGGCTGGCATCAAACAACAGCGTACGAACGACAATAAATTTTGAATTGCTCGCAGCTCGAGAGTGAGTGCGTGTGTGTGTGTTTGTGTTGGATTGTCTGGGTATTGGGGAATGTGTGCCCGATTTCCTTTCCTCCCCCCCCAACTGGGCTAACACACAAACACAAAACAAAAACTCCAATTGAATCAGTTTGTTTATAACCGGTCTCTGGCTTAGTTGTGGGACGGCAACGGCGACGGATGTAAAAAAATCGTGCGTAGCGACAACGACAACGTCTCTGGCGAACTAAAATTAAAGGTGTGCGGATAGAAAATAAATTGAAATGCGACGATAAATTCAAGAAAGAAAATCAAATAATGGGAAAATATTGAAATAAAAAGAAATTTTTGAAGGAAAAAATTGAAGAAAAATATTTTTGAATGAAGTTTTGAAAAAAAAAAAATAGAAAAAAAATATTAAAATTAAAAGAATTTCAGTTTTTGAAATAGAATATCAGAAAGAGGTCAAAAAATACAAAGAGAAAAAATTTAAAAAAAAAAAATAATCGAAAATTTTGAAAAGAAAAATCGTATATTTTGAAGTCTCTTTTTCCTGATTTCAACACCGATTTGAAGTGCGTGCGAGCGAGCGAGCGTAAGTGTATTCAACAACTTATCAGCGAATTATTGGTATTCGTGAAGTTTTAACAACAAAAACAACAACAAATTTGCATTGCATTGCAAACCTGTTTTAGGCCATAACTCAAAATCGCCCAACTTACGCCGTCACGTTCTCCAGGCCAAAGTTCTGCCATACGACGAGGCCCATGATTTTTTAGAGAAAAATTTAAGATTTCGGGAAGCACCAAAGAGAGAGCGAAAGGCAGAGAGTAGTGAGTTAAACGATCCTGCATCGATTCTAGTTGGATTACCATAACCCGTGCTCCGTTGGCCAGGGGCGTAAGGCGTACTGCATCACTAAGACGGTGCGTTTTCTTCTTCTTCTTCCTCTTCATCTGCTGGCGGTTTCCAAGTGTTGTTTGATTAAAAAGTTAGTTGGTGTGGTGTGTCAGTTTGTGAGTGTTTTTGTGTCTGTCAAGGTGTGCGTGTGTTATTCTATAAATACGCCATCAAATGCTGTGTATTTAGTCACCGCAACAAAATTACAAAAACAAATATTGTCTAACAACAACAACAACGAAAAAAAATAAGATAATAAAAGATCAACAAAGCATAGAATACCTCCCGCCCGCTCAGTGCCCTCAATAACAAAAGTGAAAAAAAAAAGAAAACAAAAATCAACAGTTACAAAAAGCTTGAAGCAGTACCATTTCACGCTTGGCAAACATTTTCCATAACCTCCACGAAGCTGTATTGGAACTCTGTGGTTATTCGCTCTTTCTCTCCACAGCAGATAATAAGCCGGCGTTGAACATATTTTTATACTCCAGCCAGCAATAAATTTAAGTATCTTCAATTTGCCAATATCACCACCACCTCTCAACCCCCCCTCACCTTTTTAACGACAAGCAAAATCTGAGAATCAGGTAAGTCAAACAAGAAAATAAATAAAAGCCGCAAAAGAATGGAAGAGCGAACAACGACCCGCCTCGGTGTCTGTCTCTTCAGTTGTTGGCCAACACCCGCTGTTGTGGTCGCTTAGCTAATTCGCGGTTTTCAAGAAGACGTTGCGTTGTTGTTGTTATTGGAGCAGCAGTAGCAGCTGCCTCTGTTGATTTGTGAATTCATTGAATAATCATTTGTCGGAAATTTAAATGCAAAATTAAAGAATTTAATAAATCACAAGTGGATAGAAGACAGAACGCAGCGGAATAGTTGGGAGGGGAGCAATGAATCAATTATATGCCTAGGAAAGAATTTTCAGACACTGAAGATGGTAAAATCAGATCGGATAATGAGGATGGTATTCTCAGAAATCGTGGCTGATATCCTTATATATTAAGGATGGTATCCTTAGATACTGAGAATGGTATCCTTTAATACTGTGGGTGGTATCCTCAGATACTGAGGAGATATCCTCAAATACTCAGCACCTGAGGATGGTATCCTCAGTACCTGGGTATGATATCCTCAGCTTCTGAGGATGGTATCCTTAGCTACTGAGGATGGTTTTCTACTGAGGATGATATCCTCAGATGCTGGGGATGGTATCCAACTGAGGATACTATCCTCAGTAGCTGAGGATACTATCCTAAGCACCTAAGGATGGTATCCTCAGCTTCTGAGGATGATATCCTCAGCTACTAAGGATGGTTTTCTACTGAGGATGATATCCTCAGCTACTGAGGATAGTATTCTCAGCTACTGAGGATAGTATCCTCAGCTACTGAGGATAGTATCCTCAGCTACTGAGGATAGTATGTTATCCTCAGCTCGAAGATACCATCCTAAGTAACTTAGGATGACATCATCAATACCTGAGGATGGTATGCTCAGCTACTGAGGATACCATCCTCAGCAACTGAAGGTGGTATTTTTAATTTCTGGTGTCCTCATCTACTGAGGATGACATTCTCAGCTACTGAGGATGGTATCCTCAGCTACTGAAGATGGTATCCTCAGGTACTGAGGTTGTTATCCTCAGCTACTGAGGATGGTATCCTCAGCTACTAAGGATGGTGTCTTCATCTACTGAGGATTGTATCCTCATCTACTGAGAATGGTATCCACAGCTATTGAGAATGGTGTTATCAGATACTGAGGATGGTATTGAATGTGGCATCCTCAGATACTGAGGATGATATCCTCAGCTACTGAGGTTGGTATCTTCAGCTGCTGAGGATAGTATCCTCACCTACTGAGGATGGTATCCTCAGAAATTGACGATGGTATCCTCAACTATTGGGGATAATATCCTGAACCACTGAAGATAATATCATCAGTTACTGAGGATTATCCCTTACTTACTGAGGATATTATCCTCAGCTATCGACGGTATACTCAGCTATTGAGAATGATATTCTCAGCTATTGAGGATGATATCCTCAGCTATTGAGGATGATATCCTCAGCTAATGAGGATGGTATCCTCAGCTACTGAGGATGGTAACCTCAGGTACTGAGGGTGGTATCCTCAGCTACTGAAGATGGTATCCTCAGCTACTATGGATGGCATCCTCAGCTACTGAGGATGGTATCCTCAGCTACTATGGATGGCATTCTCAGCTACTGAGGATGGTATCCTCAGTACCTGAGAATGGTATCCTCAGTACCTGAGAATGGTATCCTCAGTACCTGAGAATGGTATCCTCAGCTATTGAGAATGGTGTTATCAGATACTGAGGATGGTATTGAATGTGGCATCCTCAGATACTGAGGATGATATCCTCAGCTACTGAGGTTGGTATCTTCAGCTGCTGAGGATAGTATCCTCACCTACTGAGGATGGTATCCTCAGAAATTGACGATGGTATCCTCAACTATTGGGGATAATATCCTGAACCACTGAAGATAATATCATCAGTTACTGAGGATTATCCCTTACTTACTGAGGATATTATCCTCAGCTATCGACGGTATACTCAGCTATTGAGAATGATATTCTCAGCTATTGAGGATGATATCCTCAGCTATTGAGGATGATATCCTCAGCTAATGAGGATGGTATCCTCAGCTACTGAGGATGGTATCCTCAGCTACTGAAGATGGTATCCTCAGCTACTATGGATGTCATCCTCAGCTACTGAGGATGGTATCCTCAGCTACTATGGATGGCATCCTCATCCACTGAGGATGGTATCCTTAGCCACTGTGGATGTTATCCTCAGCACCTGGGGATGGCATCCTTAGAAACTGAGGATGGTATCCTCAGATGTTGAAGATGGTATCCACGGCTACTGAGGATGTTATCCTCAGCTCCTGAGGATGGTATCCTCAGCTATCGAGGATGGTATTGAGGATGATATCCTCAGCTATTGAGGATGATATCCTCAGCTATTGAGGATGATATCGTCAGCTATTGAGGATGATATCCTCAGCTAATGAGGATGGTAACCTCAGCTAATGAGGATGGTATCCTCAGCTACTGAGGATAGTATCCTCAGCCACTGAGGATGGTATCCTCAGCCACTGAGGATGGTATCCTCAGCCACTCAGCCACTGAGGATAGTATCCTCAGCTACTGAGGATGGTATCCTCAGCCACTGAGGATAGTATCCTCAGCCACTGAGGATAGTATCCTCAGCCACTGAGGATAGTATCCTCAGCCACTGAGGATAGTATCCTCAGTCACTGAGGATAGTATCCTCAGCCACTGAGGATAGTATCCTCAGCTATTGAGGATGGTATCCTCAGCTTCTGAGGTATGGTATCCTCAGCTACTGAGGATATTATCCTTAGCTACTGAGGATGGTATCCTCAGATACTGAGGATAGTATCCTTGGCTACTGAGGATGGTATTCTCAGCTTTTTAGGATGGTGTCCCAAGATACTGGCGATAGTATCCTCAGCTACTGATGATATTATCCTCAGCTACTGAGGATAGTATCCTCAGCTACTGAGTATAGTATCCTCAGCTACTGAGGGTAGTATCCTCAGCTACTGAGGATAGTATCCTCAGCCACTGGGGATAGTACCCTCAGCTACTGAGGATAGTATCCTCAGCCACTGAGGAGGATAATATCCTCATCCACTGAGGAGGATAGTATCCTCAGCCACTGAGGAGGATAGTATTCTCAGCTACTGAGGTTAGTTTCCTCAGATACTGAGGATGGTATCCTTACATGCTGAGAATGATATCTTCAGCTACTGAGGATGGCATACCTGAGTATGCCATCCTCAGTTGCGTAGAATGCTGTCCTTATTTTCCGGGAATTGTATCACAAACCAAAGGACATTTAGAGTCTGTCTTGCGATGTCAGTTCGTCTGTCTGGCTGGCTGGTGCGTACGATAACTCTCGAATGGATTATCCGATTTGGTTCAAGCTCGGTGCATCGTAATATTATTATCAAACTTAGATCGAGTTCGCAGATGGGCCATATCGGTCCACTCCTTCTGGTACATCCCCCCAAAAGATCAAAATTTTCATAAAAATATTGTAGTGCACAAAAAGAGAAGGGATAATCCGATTTTGAGATGTAAAAGTCCGATTGTCTTCAAATTACACATATATTATATATATTTTTTAACCCAAGGTCTTGTGTGAAGATGGGATATATAGGTCCACTCCTTCTTCTACCTCCCCCATGTATGGGCTCTAAATATTGAGTATACATGAAGCTCATAAAACTCGAAATTAACATCTGTTTCCATTCAGAGCTTGTACATCTCACTATTTCTATCAACACAAGATCTGTTAGAAGTATGGTAGAGATCGGACCATTCCCTCTGGTACCTCCCCCACAAAGGGTCAAATTTTTGAATAACCAAATCGATCATAAAATTCGAAATAAGCATCCATTCCTCTTCGTATTTCACACACATCCCATTATTTCTACTAACACAATATCTGCTGTGAAGATGGAATATATCGGCCCACTCCTTCTGGAACCTCCCCCACAAAGGGTCAAAATTTTGAATATAACGTGAACCTCATAAAACATGAAATTTTATCCATACTTGGCACATCTCAATTTTGCTATCAATACAAGAACTGTTATAAAACTGACAGAGATCGGACCATTCCTTCTTGTAACTCCCCCAAGCATGTCAAAATTTCTGAATAAGCAAAACGAGCATAAAATCCGAAAAAAACCTCTCCAAACCACACTCCTTTTTTTTTGCCGTAAAACGCCTTTGCCTTTAAATTTCAACATCTCCTTGAAATGAAGAAAAAAACGTAATTAAATTTCTGCGAGAATAACCGAACTAATGCGGGTTTCCGCCAAAGCCTTTCGGCGGCCCATGGCATTCAATATAAATTGCAAGGCCATTTTTTTATTTTATTTACTTCTTTTCTTTTAGTTGTTTTTGTTTAACAATTTATTTTTACTTATTTCCCTTCAACACTTGAATAATGGCCCTTTTGTGTTAATTAGCCTTTTAGCCAAAAACGAAATGATGTGGGTGAGAGAGAAAGAGAAAGAAAATGGGAGAGCATAACTAAGGGAGCTTCGGGTAAGAAAAATTCCAATAGCGAAACTGAAATTAAAGAGAACTCTTGCATTCGTCACTCGAACTCTCGTTGAATATTATCCTCCGTCCGTCGTCGAACAAAAGAACACTAATTAAGTACAAATAATGTGCCCATTTGTAGTGCCATTTATTCACACCTCCCACCCTCGGGTGGAGTGGGGTACTCTATTTCTCGTCTCCTCGCCGACTTCTTCTTTGAGGCAATTAATTTATATGTTTTGTTTTATGTTTTTTTTTTTTGTCTTTTTTGCTTTTCTATTTCATCGTGGTAGTCTTTCCTGCTGCCGGACTTCTAAGCTAGATGAATACTTCAATTTCCAATTAGATTTTTCAACAAGGCTCTTAGGAGTACGACATAAGTGGCAAAGATATATATGGAAATTATGTTGTTGTTGTTTTTTTTTTACATGTTCCCTTTTTGTGTTTTCTCAGATTTAGAGGGAAGAGGGGAATA